CCCCCCCCCCCCCCCCTTCAGGCAGCGCATGGTTTGTACGGTACGATGTTTCCAGGGGGCTATGGCCGGGCATGAAAAGGACGGGGGGTTCATCGCTCCCGAACCTTGACTGAATTACCCAGACAAATAAAGAACGCAAAGCTAGAAACAGAGAAGTAAGCAAAGGAAGAGATGAACAAACGAGCAGTTCAGTTTTATGGGAAAGTGATCGATCGAAGGAGAACTCTTGCGCTGTCACAATAAACTTTACCCAAGCCTTCGAAGCGACAAAATATATGCAACAGTTAAACAAAAATTAAAATACTTCCGGTAAATTACACAGGAAGTGACTCTGAAACTATTATAACGGCAACTAGACCTAATATCACTGTACCAGAAACGTTTTAGCATTGAAATGGATCACACCGCACTTTGAACGTCTTCTACAACAACTTTGAGGTGGGGGTGGGGGGGTGGCTAATAAAGAAATTACGTGTTCCAAACAAAACAACAGTGGAAACAAACATCCTATAAGTGTTTGAATACAAAGTGAACGAATAATTATTCCCAAAGAAAGTAGTGAAACTTTTATGCAAAAGTTTTCTCGCTTTGCGAAATATAATCGAACAAATTAATCCGACATTAAATATTGTACACATACTAAAATACAATATTAGAAATGCACGACTATTCTTTGGTTGACAACACTTTCATTTTAGCTGATAACAGAAGGAGAACCATACAGAAACCTTCGGTAAACTTCTATGAGATTACAACAGCGGCGGAGTGATACATACACCGAAAGATTGTCACAATATTCACCACATACTCCACATAAACTGACTTGCACAGTGAATTCCAATTTGTGAGTATTCTTTGTTCTGCAACAGTAGTTCAATGTTACAGTCCTACTTCGTATTCGTACCCTGATTGGGGAGAATTAATTTCGATTTCGAGTTCCTCAATTAAAAATATTGAAAGCTACTTGCTAAGTTTAATTTCAGTAAATTAATCTTTGATAATTACATTCATAACTCTCTACAAAAAAACTTTCAAGAGGTTGATATATCATCTTAAAATAAAATAGCCTTAAAATATTAACACTTTAAATCCCAGAGGAGACTGCAAACAGCAATTATTTCTTCAAATAGTATTAAAAAAATTATTTCTGTAATGATGACGCATGTGTTTTCTTTGCGATACAGACTGAATCTGTAATTATTATTTAGAAGAGCTTCGGTTGCAAAGGGTTAATAAACATAAGGTTGTGACCACATGATAAAGGAATCGTTTGGAAATAAACTTAGTTCAACGTACGAAATTGATATCAAAATAAACATATCTACATATTAACCTCGTGTTGCTAATCAGATATTTAGTGTAAAGTACAGACGACATATCAGCCAATATTAAACTCTTCCCTTGAGCTGAGATCAGATTATGAATAACTTAGATTCTCTTCAGAACGTTTCTTCAGAGAGACAAATTCAGAATAGAATCACCAATCTTAAAAAAAACTTTACGTAATTTTAAATTAGGTTGACGATATACCAGTCTGTTAATTCTAGTGTCACTTGTAAAATGAGTCCTGGGTTCATGACGGAAACGGCACCCATATTATCTTTGAACACTCAAAGAGGAATACAGTGGAACCTCGATATACCGCACCTCGTTATAACGCGGACTGGGACAAACCGTGGCTATGATCATGTCCCCAAATACGATTACATATGTTTTACATATTTCATATATAATGCGGGTACTGAAGCTGTCCCCCGAAACCCGCGTTACATCGAGGTTCCAGTGTATTTCCTAATACAACTCCTTCGCAACGGATTCACAGAGGCATATAGAACAAGGACTGCATTGAAAATAGAACAAAAAACACAACATTTATCAGTAAAAGTCGAGCAGTAACAATCGGGCAATGAACCCTTGATCCCAAGCTACATATTTATGCGGGTAGGCGAGGAGATGGAGTGGAGTGGCATCTTATCGTTGTCATAGTAACACAAGAGGCTGTTAACCCGGAAAACATGGTCATATATATATATAGGCCTATGCCCTAACCGCCTATAACCTAATGTGATGTCACACCCACGCACAAGCCTGTTCTCAATCGGTGCTAACGTAACTTTAACAGACGTCTCCATCGCTGTTTGAAGCGATGATTATTTTTAGAAATAAAACGTGTTACTTCTGTCTTTAGACTAATGGCCTCTGTGAGTATCCAGGAAATAATTCTTCTCCTTTACCAATCAAACGTCTTAAACCAGCAAATGTAAGACTGAACACAGTTAACGTTAGGTGGAAATCATCAATGAAATGTTTCATATCTCTTCAACCTCCTTCACGTCTCACACTCTGTGCCCCTACCTACCTACTCCAAGATTACACAGATTTCAACTATACAGAATTTAGTAAGATCTTCCAGAAATAACTAATTTTATAGAGCAGATTCTATCTTGAGAAGATAAAATTTGCTTAGGTAACCAAGTCATTTCCTGCCTTCTATGCAATTTGACTATTAATTACCATATTAATAACAACCTACAAATGCTCCATATCCTGAGCGAGACAAATCATTTCACATATCTTTCTATTTTTCTTTCAGACTAATTTTAAAATTATCCTCTCATTTACGTCTTCCAGGTGACTTCTTTAATGTAGATATTCAGAGTAAAATTCTGTATGCATCTCCCATCGTTTCTATGCGTGCTACATGCTCCGCCCATTTAACATTCCTTAGTCATTTTAATAGTTTTTAATGAAGTACAAGTAAATTGGTCATTTTAAAAAGGCCTTATTCCCGAAATAATGTCGTGTCGTGTCTAAGGTTAGACCGAAGCAAAGTTAAATTCCACCCATATTCTTAGTTGCATTTAGAACATGGCATGTTAAATGCAGATACCGCTGGAGGACCACAGAACCACACTTTTGGCCTTCGAGTTTCAGCAACACCTGCTGTTCTAACATAGCTGAAGGCTTACTCAGAAACCAGTGCCTATTAATGCTCTGAGAATGAGGGACATCCATCGTTTGGTGTCCTACATTCCAGGCACAAAAATATTTATAATTCTCTTATGATTCTCTTAAGGTATGTGACAAATGTATAAAGTGTACCTCAGACAATGGACAGTGTTCAAAATGGCGTTTCTACAAAAATATTTATAATTAAATATTAGCCTGGTTGGTTTTGTAATAATGACAATCATGATGGTAAATGAAAAGATAAAGGGTTTGTTTCAATTATTCAGATATTACTCGCATTATTAATTTCTAGCCAAAGCACTGGCTGGTGTTAGACAATACACAATAATAAGTGAGCGACGGCTAACAG